AAAAAAAAAAAAAAAAAAGAAAAGTTTAAAATAAGGATCAAAGGATCAACAATAGTAAACCTATTTCATGTAATATAAATAACATCTTCAATGAGAAGTAACCAATATTTTCCAAAAAAGAAAGTTAATGAGAAGCGTGATGTTTTAAATTTCTGCAAATCTCTTGGTCAAGGTTGGTCTTGATCGAGACCATGGTCTTTTGTAATCTCTTGACTGCAAAAGCTTTTGATGAACTTAAAGGTGGTCTCCTCAGGTTTATGACATTCCTGTTGTGTGCAGGTACACAGATGGGATACAGCGCATGTTGGATCATTATCACACGCTCATAGGAACATTAAACGAGGCAGAGTCCGTGCTTCTCAACGACCATTCCCAGGAGCTACTCCGAGTGTTTCGGTCTGGATATAAGAGGTTGAACTGGAACTCACTGGGTAACGTCATTCATCTGTTGATTGCCTTTTACACTTGGGGATGCAAAGTGATTCTTTTAGGTTGTTTTATTTGAATTACCATTTTCATATGTTTATAGACACAATTAACAATTTTTGAGGGTTAAGAAATACACGTTGTGGAACTTAGAACTCATCTCCAGGCTGTCGTTGGGATGAAGATAAGAGGGGTGACGTTTTCACACTCTGCAGACCCAAAGCACATTTCTCCAAAAAGAAGGTCACCTTTACTTTTTTTTTTTTAATTAAAAATTCAATTTGGAGGTAATTATAGATTCACATGCAGTTGTTAAGAATTACTACAGAGGGAGCCTTTGTAACCTTTAGTCATTTTCCCGAAGTAGTAACGTCTTGCAAAACTAGAAGATCACAACCAGGATACTGACACTGATACAGTCGAGATAGAGAGCATCTTCACACCACAGCGAGTACTGTCAAGGCCACTTCCCTCCCGACCTTGCCCTCTCCTTAATCCCTGGCAACCAGGAATCTTTATTCAGTTTCTATAATGTTGTCATTTCAGGGTGTTATATAAATGAGATAACATATAGCCCTTTTTTGAGTTGGCTTTTCTCGCTCAGCCTAAGTCTTCAAAGATCTGCCCTTGTTGTTGCATGTGTCAACAGTCTGTGGATTCTTGAAGAATACTCCACGATATCAATGTACCATAGTTTGTTCAGCCTTTCACCTCTTGAAGGACAGCTAGGTTGTTTCCAATTTTGGCTCTTATGAATAAAGCTGCTATAAACATTTGTATACAGGGTTTTGTGTGAACATGAGTCTTCACTTTTTCTGGGATAAATGCCCAGGAGTGCAGTTGCTGAGTTGCACGGTAGTTGTGTATTTAGTTTAAGGTTGTTGTTACTGTTGTCGTATTGAGATGGAGTTTCGCTCTTGTCACCCAGGCTGGAGTGCAGTGGCGTAGTCTCGGCTCACTGCAACCTCCACCTCCTGGGTTCAAGCGATTCTCCTGCCTTAGCCTCCCAAGTAGCTGGGATTACAGGTGCCTGCCACCACTCCTGGCTCACTTTTGTATTTTTAGTAGAGACAGGGTTTTGCCATGTTGGCCGGGCTGGTCTCGAACTCCTGGCCTCAAGTGATCCATCCGCCTTGGCCTTTCAAAATGCTGGGATTACAGGTGTGAGCCACCACGCTCAGCCTTTTTTTGTTTTTGTTTTTGTTTTACTGTCATGCTGTCTTACAGGGTGGCTGTGCCATTTTACATTTCCATCATCCATAGATGAGTGACTCAGTTTCTCCACATCCTGGCCAGTTTTGCTGTCACTTTTTTTTTCTTTAATGTTGGCATTCTGATAGCTGTGTCATGATACCTCATGGTTCTGATTTGACTTCTGTAATGGCTAATGGTGTTGAGCATCTTTTCATGTGCTAATAAGCACAAATATGTCAAGTGTGTGGCTTCTTCAGCAACATGTCTTTTTCTGTCTTTTGCCTATTTTCTAATTAGATTGTTTGTTTTCTTCACTGTTGAGTTTTGAGCATCCTTTGTAGACTCTAGATACTCGTCCTTTAGTGGATATGTGGTTTGCAGATATTTTCCCCTTCTCTGTAGCTTTTCGTTTCCTTCTTATAGGAGGGCCTTTGGTAGAGCAAAAGCTTTACATTTCAACTAAGTCCAACGTATCCATTTTTCCTTTAATGGGTTCTACTTTTGCTCTCAAGTCTAAGAATCATAAGTTTTTTTCTCGCCTGTGGTTTTTGTTTCTAAAAAGGTTGTACTATCGTGTTTCACAGTACAGCCTATGATCCATTTTGGGGTTTTTATTTTTATAAAGTGAGACTGATCATAAGTACTTAGCCCGAGTTCACTGTTCATGTTCTTGCTGTTCATCTAAGCTCCAGGCCAGAGGAGGTTGCAGGCAGGTGGTGTGGAGTGGAGGGTTCACAGAGCTCCAGCAATGAGAAGATAGCACGGTTGATAGTCCCTTTCTCCCCATGGTGCTGCAGCCAGGACTGTGTAACATTTGAATAGAAGAAATGCATTGCTTGGTTGATTCTGGGCTCCAGAGTCCTTGTCCCAGTGCCTTAGGGTTCAAAGTGGATCTGCGTCACCCCAAAGACCCAAGGGGTTGGAATGAGCAGGGTCTTTCCTAGGAAGGGATGCCAGTATTAACGTCACAGACATTGGTAGGGGGGATGTGGAAAGACAGGGTTGGAAGCCAGATGTCTTTCTTTCTTTCTTCAAAGGTATTGGTGACTATATAACTGGTTGCAAACAGGCCATTGGGAAATTTGAGTCTCTCGTCCACCAGATTCATAAGAATGCAGATGACATTTCTTCCAGGCTGACATTAATAGAGGCCATAAATCTCTTTAAATATCCAGCTGCTAAAAGCGAGGAAGAACTCCCAGGTAGATCTGACTTCTGGGCTCTCCAGTTATGGAATTAATGAAAAAATATATTGTATACACATGCACGTGTATATATATATGTATCTATAAATACACATATGTATTTGTATATTCCATGAATGGCATAAAACCATTTCTAATGCTCTCAGTCATTTACTTGAAAGAATCATGGGTAGCTATTACTTTTTGTCATGTTTTCTATATTGCTTAGTTTAACCAATTCATGTTTGTTTGTTTGTTTTCTGAGATGGGGTCTCACTATGTTGCCCAGACTGGTCTTGAACTCCTGGCCTCAAGTGATCCTCCCACCTCAGCTGTGAAAGCCTATGGTACTTTGTTGATAACTTTGTAACAGTAAAGCGAGTTGCGATTTTTATGGGCTCACATTTACTTGTTCAAGAAAGATACTTTAAGTGGTCTTAGACTAGCCAAAAAGGAATTCAAGATATGTCAACAAGGAATTGAAGAAAAACAAGATTGCCTAAAGCTATAAAAGCCACCTTCTGGATGGATGTAGCTGGTTGTCATTGATTTGTTGCTTAGCGTGTGTTCTGATACTGACTTGTGTTCTGCTCTGGGCCGAGGTTGGAGGCTGGTTTTGTTGTTTTGAAGACACACAGCTCATGTTTGGATTGCCTTCTCAGTGCCGTCCTTTCCTGTGTTCATGGACAGCTCTAAAAGACGTCTTTGTCTCTAGGTGTGAAGGAATTTTTTGAACACATTGAGCGAGAAAGGGCCAGAGACGTGGACCACATGGTCCGGTGGTATCTTGCCATTGGACCGCTGCTGACTAAAGTTGAGGGCCTGGTCGTCCACACCAACACAGGCAAGGCCCCCAGGCTGGCCTCCTACTACGAATACTGGGAAAAGAAAATTTATGAGGTCCTGACAAAGCTCATTCTGAAGTAAGTCCATCTTGTCGCATGTTTTAAAATGGTGTGTGTAGATTAAAACAGTTGACAAATATGGACAGTTAGAGGGGGTGGCAAGGTGGAGAATGAAAATCAGATGGACGGTCACATGGCTTTCTGGCTGAAGGGCACTCACAGAGTGGAGGGATGACCTTCATGATCTTGTGAGGACCCTCAACATTCCAGAAAAGAAAGGATCCCTCTCCCCACCTCAGCTGTCTGAAACTTGTGAGCTTGTGTTCAGCTGGCAGCAGAGAATCACTGTCACTCAATACTGACCAGAATCCCAGAGGACTCCCCCGTTCATGTTGAGAGTGACAGACGTGAAGGACACAAGGACACACGACCTATTCCCTCTTCTGCTGGTTTCAAGTCGACCCCTAGCTAGCGCGGTCTGTGCGTGTTGAATGCCTGTTGCATGTGCCAGCCTCTGACACGCCAGACTCTGTCCCTTCCCTCCTGGGCCTCACCCTCAGCAGCCCAGCCAGGCCAGCTGGAAGCTGAGTGCCTGGACCCCATCGCGTTGGTGGCCCACAGACTGTTCTGGGTGTAAGGCTGATAGTTTAGAATCATTCTAGGAAACCAGCCTGTGAAATCCATCACCGTTACTATTACATCTATATTGTCAAGAGCAGTGTTCATTTTATCACGCAATGTCTTCCTTATGAAGGGAACTCCAGAAGAAATGACTCTAGTCCCTTCTTTGACCCCAGCCTCACATTTTTCTTTTTTATTTTTTGCTTTCATTTTCTTGTTTGGTTTTTATATGATATGGACTCTATGAATTGTTGACTTCATAGCTTTCCCTTTCACTTTGGCTGCTAGGAAGCTTAGAACCAAATTTGTAGCCTAAATGCAGCAGTACTTATGATTATGATTTGTATTTTTAGTCTCATCCGAACACGTAGGAAAGCTCACCTTGCACCATGTTCTGTGCTGGACTCTTTCCAATCCTCATCCCTGTTTTACAGAGGAGGATACAGAATCTTGGCAGGTTAAGTGACTTGCCTGGGACCACACAGCCAGTAAGAGAAAGGGCTGGGATTTGAACCTGGGCAGTCTGACTCCAGTATCATTTCCTGAAATGGTGTCTGATTAGTGTCTTCTTCCTTTCTTATTTTACCCCACTTTGATTTTAGGATCTCTTACTGCAGTTAAAGTATCTTTGTGAGCTGCTAAAAATCTCTTTTGGGATAATACACTGAAAAATAAAAACTTTTGGTCTTCTTTTCTGGGCCCAGTTTGGCAAACTTCTCTTAAGTTGATCCTTTAAATAACTCTGTTTTCTACGTATTTCATTTATTCTCTGTTACTGCTTTTAACTTAGATTCCTAAAGCAGTCCCTTACATGGAGCTACCTCCTATAATGTTTCCCTTACTAACATGCTATGTTTTCTTTTGATCCATTTATTAACTCATTCATTCATCTGTTCATCCATCCATCTATTCATTCACTCATCCATCCACACATTCATCCACACATCCGTCCATCCATCCATCCATCCATCCATCCATCCATCCATCCATCCATCCATCCATCTATTCATTCACTCATCCATCCACACATTCACCCACACATCCGTCCATCCATCCATCCATCCATCCATCCATCATCCATCAATCCATCCATCTATTCATTATTCACTCATCCATCCACACATTCATCCACACATCCGTCCATCCATCCATCCATCCATCATCCATCAATCCATCCATCTATTCATTCACTCATCCATCCACACATTCATCCACACATCCATCCGTCCATCCATCCATCATCCATCAATCCATCCATCTATTCATTCACTCATCCATCCACACATTCATTCACACATTCGTCCGTCCGTCCATCCATCCGTCCATCCATCCATCCATCCATCATCCATCCATCCATCTATTCATTCACTCATCCATCCACACATTCATCCACACATCCATCCATCCATCCATCCATCCATCATCCTTCAATTCATCCATCTATTCATTCACTCATCCATCCACACATTCATTCACACATTCGTCTGTCCGTCCATCCATCCGTCCATCCATCCATCCATCATCCATCCATCCATCTATTCATTCACTCATCCATCCACACATTCATCCACACATCCATCCATCCATCCATCCAAGGTTTAGTAAAGCCTGCCCTGCGCTGACTGTTGGATTAGACTCTGGTCACAGACAAGGCCCCTGTATCCTTGCAGTTTCTCTAACCTCATAGAAAAGGCAGGACACAGGGAAACAGACGTAAAAGAGATGAGTTCTGTAAAAGAAATAAAGCAGTATGGTGTTCTGGGGAGAGAATGGAGATGCTGCTGTAATTGGGTGGTCAAGAAAGGCCATGGAAATGCCACATTTTAGTAGAGACCTGAAGATGAGGAGTGAGCTGAAAGTGGGAAGAGCTTTCTGGGGGAAGCTAAAAACTGCTGTGAAGACCCACAGGTGGGCCTTTGGTCAGTGCAATAAACAGAAAGAAGGAAGGATGAGATTGAAGGAGGGGATAATGCTGGAGAGGCTGGCAGGGGTGGATCAGGTCACAGGCAGCCTGGGAAGAAGCCATGGCAGGGAGCTTGCATTTTATCCGGACAGCCATGGGAGGCTGCTGGACTGTTTTCAACTGGAGAGAGAGGAGGAGAGGGAGGAAGAGAGAAACAGGAAGAGGGAGAGAGAGAGAGAGGTGGAGAGAGAGGGAGAGGGAGAGAGAGAGAGAGATAGGGACGGGGGGAGAGGGAGAGAGGAAGGGAGAAGCCTGGAGAGGGAGAGAGAAACAGGACGAGGGAAGGAGAGAAGTGGAGAGAGAGGGGAGAGAAAGAAAAGGGGAGGGAAAAGGAGAAGAGGGAGGGAGAAGGCGAAGGAGGGAGGTGGAGGGAGAGGGAGAGGGAGAGAGAGAAGGGAGGAGGGAGAGGGAGGAGTTAGATGTTTTTGTTTTGTTTTGTTTTTTGAGACAGGGTCTCACTCTGTCGCCAAGGCTGGAGTGCAGTGGCATGTTCACGGCTCACTGCAGCCTCGACCTCCCCATCTGAAGCAGTCCTCCCACCTCAGCCTCCAAAGTAGCTGGGACCACAAGTGTGTGCCACTATGCCCAGTTAATTTATTTTAATTTTAGAGACAGGGTCTTGCTATGTTGCCCAGGCTGGTCTCAAACTCCTGGGCTCAAGTGATCCTCCCACCTCAGCCTCCCAAAGTACTGGGATTACAGGTGTGAGCTGCTGTGCCCTGCTAAATATTTTAAAATAGTGTCTCTGGCTGCCATATGAATTACTGGATGGAGGTGGGCAGGGGGAGGGGAAACAGGGAGACTAGGCTGGAGGCTGATGAAGTTTCATCCCTGGGTGTCACATCTGCTTTGGTCTTGGAAAGGATGGAGCTGGTGGGGCAGTCTGGGTGGGGATGTGAGTACTCCTTTTTCCTTACCAGAGTTGAGCAGCTTTTGGAAGTCATTATTATTTAACTATTTTCCAACCAAAAGTTAACTCAGTTTTCCAAAAGTAGAAATGAACTATTTGTATAAATTTAGGGTAAAAAAAGAATATTTTAAATAAGACTCACTCCAGCCTGTCCAGGACAGCTTCGCAGTATGCCATTGCCTGTACCTGTGATTTTTGTGGCCCTTGTCATTTCTGTCCATTGCTTGGCGTATTTCACTCTAGTGGGTTACTGAGTCTTTCTCATCAACCCCTCTTAGGAATTTGCAGTCTTTTAATTCTTTGATCCTTGGAAATGTCCCTCTGTTCCAAACTGAAACCATTCTGACGGCTCCTGAGATCATCCTTCATCCCAACACAAATGAGATCGACAAGATGTGCTTCCATTGTGTCCGGAATTGTGTGGAGATCACCAAGGTAAGAGTGGAGGTGCCTGCGTCCTTGCTCAGATGGCGTCTCAGGATGCCTCCGCCTCCCACAGTGCTGGGACTACAGGCATGAGCCACTGCCCGCAGCCCAAGGTGGAATTCTTGGCTTCCTGCCTTGTGACTTGGTCATCCCCCAGTTTTCCCCACTTCAGAAAATGGCACCAACATCAACCCAATTGCTTGAGCCAGAAACTCGTCCTTGTTTCTTTTTCTCTCACCCAGCCCTGCCGAGCCCATCGGCAAGTCGTCCAAACATACCTCCCATCTGTCCTCTTCTCTCCTGTCCCCCCAGTACCTTCCTATCCCAAGTGGCCATCACCGCTCTCGTGGACTGTCTCGGTGACTTTCCAACAATTCATTCTCCACCACAGGTGGTCAGAATTACCTTAAACAAATACAAATCAGGCCAGGTGCAGTGGCTCATGCCTGTTATCCTAGCACTTTGGGAGGCTGAGGTGGGAAGATTGCTTAAGCCCAGGAGTTCCAGACCAGTCTGTACAACAAGGTGAGACCCCCATCTCTACCAAAACTAAAATAAATTAGCTAGGCGTGGTGGTGCACACCTGTGTTCCTAGCTACTTGGGAGACTGAGGTGGAGGATTGCTTGAGCCCAGGAGTTCAAGGGTACAGTGAGGTATGGTTGCACCACTGCACTCCAGCCTGGGCAACACAGCAAGACCCTGTCTCTGAAAACAACAACAACAACAACAACAACAACAACAACATATCATTTCGTGTCATCCCTGATGTAAACTGCCCCACCCACCCCATGACTTAATTACACTTAGAACATAATCCAGATATCTTTGTGTGGTCTATGAGGCCCCCATGCTCTAGCCCCTGGCTGCCTTTCTGATCTCAGTCCTACAAGGATCATGCTCCCTCACACTGCAGCTTGACTGGCTGCCTGATTTTACCCCCAGCAGGTACCGTGGGTTCCTCTTGCAAGGATTTCCGTAGCTGTTCCCTCACCTGGAACATTCTGCTCCCTTGACCTTCTTGTCCTCTCTCTCCCATCGGCCCCATCCCATCTTCTTCCTACCACGTACCACTCTCCGACTTTTTCTTATTTTTTCCCTTGCTTTTGTATCTATTGATCCTATCAGGCCACTAGAATGTAAAGGGATCCATGGGCATACCGACCTTGAGTGTTTTGTTCCCTTTAGAATCCCCAGCACCAAGAACACCTGGCACACAGTTGGTTCTCAGTAAATGTTTTTTGAATGAACATCTGCTGGCAGATAACCCAAAGTTTATGTCTTACCCCAAACTGGAAAACAGAGCTGTCCTTGTAGGTATGGGCATGACTCCCGCAGCACGCTGGCATCTTCCTCTTCACTTGGCTTCTGCAGCAAGTCAGACATGTTTCAGGCATTTTTAGGGGCATAAAAGTAAGTATAGAAATCAGAAT